GAACCAATTCAGTTTTATGCCATGTTTATTTACTACATATGCCATCTATTTGATTAAGGTGAAAATTTTATAAATGACGTATGTAAGACTAATAATTTCAAAAATAATTTCAAGTTATGACAGTATAATAATTCTTTCAAGTTGTAACAATAAAAAATTTCAGGTTATAACATTTTATTAAAAAAAATTTTTTAATAAAATAGTAAAAATCGTTTTATTAAAAATAATAAATAGTAAAAAATGGAAATAGTTGCAATAATAAATTTGAATACATTAATGATAATTATTAATTGTCATAAATATAGGAGATTCAAAACAAAATAGGAATATTTGTTTTCCTTTTTTTACTCAAATCATTTAAAAGTATTTTAAAAAGCATATTTTGTTTTAAAATAATAGTAAAAATCGTTTAAAAAAAAAAGAAGGTAAAAAACGGAAATAGTTGTAATAATAAATTTGAATACATTAATGAGAATTATTAATTGCCATAAATTTAGGAGATTCAAAACAAAATGGGAATATTTATTTTCCTTTTTTTACTCAAATCAGTTAAAAGTATTTCAAAAAGTAGATTTTCTTCGTTTGTTTAAACATTCTCTCTCCGCGATTTTTTTTTGTAATTGTCGTCATTCACGACTAGTTACAAATATTTTTGGTTCAATAATCTTCATTTTAATTTAATGGACAGCTTCTTATCGATATTAACAAAACATGGTGGTTGATGGGATCATTCTGGTTAGTATTCTTTGCGATTTTTTTAATTTTATTTTTATATTAATGAAACCTAAAAAAAAAACAATGAAACTGTAAAGTAAATTTTGCTGATTTTGTTTGTGTACAGTAGATTTAAATTGTAATGTTTTTTATATGAACATTCTTTTGTTCATATGACATAATAATTTTTGTGAAACTTAAATAAACATTGGTATGAAATTTTTGTATATTGTTTTTTGTAATTTGTATATTGTTTATACCATGGATGTTTGCGATTTTGAATTTTTATTTGAATGATTTGAGTATACTATTTTCTTGATAAATGATAGTGTATGAAATAGTAACAATGTTATCGCTATAAATTTATGAAATGTGTGCCAAAATAAATGTATGAAATGTGTTTTTTAAGGTATGAATACTGATTTGAATGTAATTTGATAATAATAATGAAATGAATTTGGTATACTGTTTAAAAGTATAATTCTGTATACTATTTTTTTGTATGAAATTATAATTAATATTTATAGGTTGGAATTAATTCGATATTGTATTTGGCATGATATTGGTATGAATAAGTAATGATTATTGTGTAAAAATGTGTACGAGAAGTATGCTGTTTTGTATGAAATTAGTATTAGGTTGGTATGAAATTTGAATATAAATACAACAAATTTATTTTTCCTTTTGTGTTATGTAAGACTGACTGTGATTTTTTAATATAGCTTGAAGAATTTTGAAGATGCATATGCGATCCCTGTTGAACCTCTCCCATGCGAGAGTACATGGGATATACCAAGTTATGTTTTTGAGCCTAAGTTGATGTCGTCTAGTTAAAAAAGAACGGTAGGAAGACCACAACTTGAACGCTGGAAGGAGTTTGCTGATGTGAAATTCAAAAGGTCTAAAGTTACTTGCAGTACATGTCGTCGAGAGGGCCACAACAGGAAGTCATGTTCAAATGACCCTCCGCCAAAAAACTCATAGTTTATTGTTTGTAACAAAAAATTTTTTTTTTTTTTGTCTTTTAGACTCATGTTTTGTTTTGATTGTGATTTTATTTTTTTTTCAAAAATGTTTATTGAGTAATTTATTAGGTAATTATGGTATGCATTTGGTATTTCATTTGGTATGCAATTGAATCCATAGTGATATTAGGTAATGTAATTTACAGTGAGTATTAATTTGGTATTCATCTGGTGTCCAACTTCAAAAAAATATAGAACAAGATGTAATTGAGGTTAGTCCAAAATAATGATAACTGTTTTACATTGTCAGATTCATTTCTTCCAATATTTATACACGTGAGATACCAACTTTATACATTTTTTAAACTGAACCCACACTGATTAAGGCAATGTATTTTTCAATTAGTATTAATTTGGTATCCATCCGGAGATCAACTTGAAAAAAAATATAAAAATGATGTAATTTAGGTTGGTACAAAATATAGTGATCACTGTTTTACATTGTCATAATCATTTCTTCCAGTATTTATACACGTTGGATACCAACTTCATACATTTTTTATTTTTTTAGTTTTTGTCTTGAATTATGAAGTAAAAAATACCAATCATGTATGAATTGGATGCTAAGTATATACAGTTTGGATACCAATCATATGACATTATTATTTCATGATCTCTAAATTGGGGTTCATTTGGTTTCCAATTAATATCAAAACTAAAACTGTTTATGAATTCAATTGGTATGCAGTTTGTATATAACTGGTATCCAGAAATTATTATAGGCAATGTGTAATTTGTATCCAATTGGTATGCAGTCTGTGTATAACTAGTATCCTGAAATTATGAGAGCAAATTTGTAATTTATATGTAGTTGGTATCTAACTGAAAGAAAACAATGCATATTGTATATCATCCAATACTTAAACTGTAGCAAAAACATATATATATATATATATATATATATATATATATATATATATATATATATATATATATATATATATATATATATATATATATATATATATATATATATATATATATATATATATATATATATATATATATATATATATATATATATATATATATATATATATATATATATATATATATATATATATATATATATATACAAATATATATATATATATATATATATATATATAGTCCAAAAGTTAAAAAAAATATGTGGTACTAAAGAGTCTACACTGCAATCAACTATCTCGAATTTGATCTCTGCAGTCTTGGTGTAAGATAATTGCTGGTATCCGAATCATGTTCTTTTGCTATGCGTGGTCCACATTTGAGACCAATATCTGCTTCAAATTCCTTAACCCCAAAACGTAGTACAGTATCATTTATTTTGACGATGAACATGTCGTCCCTGTCGTTTTCATAAATCATATATTAAGTCAGTTAATTACCAATATTATTCATGTTTCAGATTAATAGATATAATGAGAATAATTTGAAAAAATAGTTTTTCTACTAAACTGTGTACCAACTTCATACCAGATTTAAATAACTTTCACCCCAATATTAGTAATACATCATACCATTTTCTATACCAATTTCATACAATCAATGCAACTAATTAAAACCTTAATGTCATGCCATTTTTGATAAATAGAATACCCAACTTAATATCAATTCCACGACAGTTAATTTACATATGTATGCATAAACCACAACAATTTCATGCCAACATTAAAACAAAATTCATATCAAACAATAATATGCATAATATAACAGTTTTAACAAAAAATCTACTAAATTGAACAATTGGAAAATAAATTAAATACAATATTTAGCCTAACCACATTTTTGCCTTTTTTGGATATTGGGATTTCCGAGTCCTCCTTCGTTGTTGCTCTTTTTTTTTTTATGGTTTTGAAGACTGACCCAACTCGACATTTGTTGATTTTTTTTACTTTTTCTCACTTACAAAATCTGAGTCCGAATTAGAAAGGGGTTCTACCATTTTCCCCTTCCTCTTTTGTACCTTTTGATTTGCAGGACTTTCAATTTTCTTTGCTTGACTTTTCTTCCCCTTTTTTGTAACATGTTTCTTCCTTTGAGAAGTACCACCCTTTTTCGCCGGACTTTCATTCTTGTTTGGCGGCGGTGTTTGAGTCAAAATGTTGAAGGTTAGAGCATCTATTTCAACAGTAGAAGTCGCTTCTACCAATCGAGGGCTCTTTCGAGAAGTATGCTCAGATTTCTTCGACATGTTTTGTCGAAGATCTTAAAATCTTGATTCTTAGAGTTGTGAATCCGCCCTTTCTTTTGATTGTATGATGAAAATTTTCTCCTAATCAATAGTTACATGTTGAAAAACGGTTTCAATATAATATGGTTGAAAGAGAAGAAAGATGAACTGGTAACGTGGGGTGGCAGCGTGTTGTATAGCAGAGGCATGATGCTTAGGAGTGTGTGATTGGCGTGGGGTGTGGGGGGTGGAATTGGCGTGTAATTGTAAAAAAGGAACAATAATCAATGTAAATCCCTATAATTGTGTAAGAGATAATTATGGTGTATTATTTATTTAAATAATTTAATAATAATATAAAATTATAAAAAGATTAATTATTTAATAAAGTAAAATTTAATTGATTTATAAATAAATAGTGATATGTTATAACCCATAATTAAAGTGTTATAAGCAAGAATTTTTTAAAAGTAGGGTTAAAACCCGTAATATTGTCTCTGAAATGTGTATATGGGGTGATTTTTCCTTGATTAAGAGACTAGTAGAGTAGTGTAGCATGAAAAAAAATGACTTATATGTGGTGCTTATTAACTTAAAAAGGCATATAAGAAAGTCTCAAGAAAGGTTTCATGAAGATGTTTGGAGGCTAGAGGTGTATTGATGTCACACGCTAGGGTGATTAAGATATGTACGATAGATTCAAGACCCGAGTGAGGATAGTGAAAGGAGACTCAAAATATTTTCCAGTCACAATGGGGTTGCATGAGGTGTAAACTTTATGTTCATTTCTGATTGCCCTGGCGATGGATGAATTGACACGTCATATCCAAAGTGAAGCATCGCAACATATGTTACAAATGACATAATATTGATTAACGAGACTCGCGATACATAATATCCAAGGAATAAGACGATAAACGATGATGTCACACAACGTATATGTGTGAGATGAAAGAAATGAAGCTTGTTTTTGAAGCTTCATGTGTAATGAGAAAATACCACTTAAATGGTATGTTATATAGATTGATGTTTAGACCAACTATATTGCACGAAGAAATGTTGGCTAGTTAAGAATTCTCGTGACCAAATGAGGATTGCGGAAATAAAAATGCCTTCAAAATAAGTTGTTGGAAAAAGAAAATTTTAAAATAGTTAGAGGGGAGGCGCAAAGCCGTTGATCATTGTGGAGGACGCGGTTCCTTCCCTCCAACCTTGACAACCAACAAATACCCGAATCTCTATGTCCACCTTTTCAACAATTGATTGATTGCTCAGTCAAAATCAATATAAACCCTTTCCATTATCTTCCCCATTTCCCCATTAAACCCTAACCCTCTACTCCGATTGTTCTCTGAAGGGGAAAAAGATCAACCCAAGTTTATGAATTAAGCACTACGAAGTTCAAGAACCCGATCTTTCTTCAATTTGATCGATCGGGTTATAGTTTTTGTTTAGAAAGATGTCAAAATTGTATGGAGGAGATTTCAATCAGAAAATAGATTATGTGTTCAAGGCGGTGCTGATCGGAGATTCTGCAGTTGGAAAATCGCAGTTATTGGCACGGTTTTCGAGGAATGAGTTTAGTCTGGATTCAAAGGCAACCATCGGTGTTGAGTTCCAGACGAGGACGTTAGAAATCGATCATAAGACTATTAAGGCTCAGATTTGGGATACTGCTGGTCAGGAGAGGTAGTTTGAACTTCTTCTTCTTTAGCCCCTTTTCTGAATTTTGTTTCTTCTTTTCGTTTTTCGAGATTTATTTATAGTGATCATGATCCAGTGTTTCTGTGTTTATTCTGTAAGATCTGGTAATATCTCATGGTGATTGTGATTTAGTCCGAGTTGTGGAGTTTGCTTGGTTAATTATGTGTTTGGTACATATGGTGATGCAGTTTTTTGGCTGATATGTGCTTTTGATCATATGGGTATCTGATTTGTTATACAACGACTAACACTCATTAGAAAAATAATAGTAGGAAATATAATTGAAGAATAAGATGGCTTTGAGGCGTGTAATCACTTTCTTTCGAGAGATATTTCCCATATATATATTGGGGTAAATACAAACAATTCTCTTCAAGGATACAACAAAACCCTTTGTTTAAACATGCAGATTTTTCTTAGGCTACTTCTAGAAAATCTTTATATTTATAGAACTTAAGGGATGGCTCTTCTTTCATGAACAAATGACTTTTCATAACAGTCATGTTCTTTCACGAATAAATGCGTCTATTCAATTTAAGACCTCTATATATTACAAAATATCCAACAATCCCCCACTAGTTTGTAATATTTCTCATAATATCATGCATATCAGAGAGCATCTTATACTAATAGATTTGAACTTTTCGTTAGTGCAAGTACTTTAAAGTTCTGACGAAGTAATTGGTATCTTAAAAGATTTGAACCACAACTCCATGTGTCAAAACCGAAAATATCACACACATAGTATTATTTGTAGTTTAGAAACCCCAGTATTTGCTTTAGCACGTTTATGGCCATGTGCTCATCCCGATTTCATGAATATTTACAAGACCAATCCTCTAGATCTTGCTTGAAGCGGCACCACTTTAATATACATATAGGTGAAATTAGGTACTATGTCACTGTTACTCTAGACATTTACTAATTTCATTAAGAATTAATTCGACCTCCATGTAACCAGGGGCGGAGCTACAGTGTCCCAAGGGTGTCCAATTGGACATCCTTTGTCGAAAAATTATACCATATATATAAGTAAAATGCCACTGGTAACGGTTAAAGTTAATAGATTGGACATCTTGAACATATCAAGATGCTATGGTCCAACGGTGTGAGGCTGTCCTCCTTACTTTGAAGGCGCGGGTTCGAATCTCCACAAGTGTATTTTATAATCATTTTAAATAGAACACTCTTATTTTATTATTCATTAACTTATTTCTATAATTGTCTAAGCTAATTAAATTACATTCTTAATTAGAAATCTAGGTTTAGTAGCTAATTGAATTTTCAATGAATTTGACTTTTTATTACTTTTCATTAAAATTTAAAATGTAATTATTTAATTTAACGTTAATAAATAAATTCTAAACGTTTTCTATAAAGCTGCTAAAAGCGAACAAAAGAACACCTCATTTGATTCTGCTTCCATTATTTATGTCTCGTTATTGTTGTCATCACTATAGATTAGTGAAAGCGTGAATGCCTCTCCCCCCCCCCCTCCCTTTTTTTTTTGGCTTTGTTCGTTCACTTTATATTGAATTAAACACAAACATTAAAGTTAAATATCATGCAGTTTGATTTTTAAAATTTTGGAACATTTATTCGTAAAAAAAAGAAGTAATATTAATGTTATGTAGTTCAATTTTTATTTTTTCAATGCATCCATTCATCAAAAAAAAATTACTTATGTATTATTTGGACACCCTTCTTAAAAATCCTAGCTACGCCACTGCATGTAACAGTCTGTACTATAGAGTTTATCACTATCCCCCTGTTATTTCAAGCATTTAACAACTCCTCAACTTCTCACATAACAGTATGCAGTAAACTTGAATCAAGACTCTAAAATGAAAACTCGTGCTTTAGCAACACAAAGTAACTTGTTATTACCCATTGAACTTGTATTATTAGAGAGTATACTAACTCAAAGTTGGGTTTCCATCACTTGTGTTTAGTTTAAGTATTTTAGCCTTATTCATTCACACATTTATTATACCGCATCTTTTGAAACTAAATTTTACAAGAGTAATATAAATTATAAACAAATCTTTCACATAGGCATATCAAAGAACATGACTCTTATGAAGAATCATATGTTCATGAAAGAACGTGACTCTTATGAAGAGTCATCTCTTAAGTTCTATAAATATAAAGACTCTCTAAAAGTAGCCTATAAAAAATCTGCATGAATAAACAAAGGGCTTTGTTGTATACTTGAAGAGAATTGTTTGTATTTACCCCAATATGTCTATGGGCAATATCTCTTTAAAGAAAGTGATTACATGCCTCAAAGCCATCTTCTTCTTCAATTATATTTCCTACTATTATTTTTCTAACAGCTTTAATAAGAGATTTCTAAAGGTGATTGCTTATTTATCACTATGAGAAGAGATTATTCTTAAGTGATGGATCTTAATTGCGTTTTATGGATTTATTTTACATTGATCACAACTTACTCAATAGTCTCTTATTGGGTATGTTGTTTTTGATCAACCAAATGGTGATCACAACTTACTCAATAGTCTATAGGATTGAGGTTGGTAGCTGCCACTAACAGTAGTATGTAATAGTTTTCCCGTGTTTCTTAAGACTGCCCTTATATGTATTAATTGTAAACAATGGAGGTGGGTTACCACTTAGCATTCGTGATATTTGAAATGTGAGTGAATGAGTGTTTCATCACCTTGGTTCCTTAGAAGTGGTAATGTTATGCCCTTTTCAAGAAAAAGCTGAAACTTTGGAAATGTTATGACTTAACTGTAGAGTTTATAGAATTTGACTTGATGAGCCTTAACCTCAAGATCTTTAGTTTGAATAAGTACAAGTCGTCTAGGGAGTCGCTGTATGAAATGCAAAAGGGCCAGGTAGTTTGGAGACTTAAAAAAGTAGGGTGAGTATGGGTATCTTAAAAAAGTAGAAATACAAGAAATCTCAATGGGGAATTTTCTTTTGCCTGCCTCAAGCTTGGGAATTGGGGCCCCATTTTGTCCCATTTGCTTCTCTTATACATTGGGCAATGAAGTGCACCTTAGGCAAGCCTTTGGCGACAATGTTTTCTAGCTAACATTAACCTGGAAGCAAAATGTGACTAGGGAAACAAAATTCATTTCTTTGATGAACCTGCGATGTGGACTTGGGGGTACTTGGACGGTGATAGGTTAGGTCTCTCAACAAGCAACATCCTTTTCGATTGTAAAGGGTTGTCGCCTTAAAACTAATCTAATTTGCCTCATATTCACCGTTATTGATTGTTTATTATCTTTTTCTTACTCATGTTTCATCACCCATAGTCTGAATTACCTTCCGAGTTCCTTTTTCTTTTGACAAAGTAAGCATTTTGACTTTAGTAAGTAAATAATTTCATTGATTAAACTGCACCAAACTGGTGCTTCTATATACAGCTAGTACACACAATGCCTTTAAATCTTCCAAATGTAGGGTACTGAGAGAATCTAGTAAATTTTTCGTGTCATGTACATTTTTCAATTTACACCATAATTCCAAAAAGTGCCAAAGGTTCCATTCCCCTGCTCTGCTCATCCTCCTTTTCCTTCTGAATACCCAACTTAGTAATGAATCTCTAACAATTGTTGGCATTACTTATTCAAAACTAAAAACCTGTCCAAATTGAGCTACACAAGAGTGCACAACCTGAAAGTGTAGTAGCAAGTGATTCACATTGTTCTACAACTTCTTTTCTTTTTTGATAACCGAGAAGTCTCAAGCATCAGTGGCGAATGGTTCGGAACTTGGTGGATAACAGATTTTCTGACCTCTTACAGTCTTACTCGTGAAACACCAAATAGGACATAAAAATATGCAAATTTACTTTACATTTGACATTGTTTAAGAAGAAAAATGATTTTTATTACTCGAGAGTCGAGACTTTTATTAAGTGTCAATTAAATAAAACTGTTTTGCCTTTTGTTTGAAATTTTGGTGAAATTTCTTGAAAGAAAGAGTTTGAAGAGGTAATGGGAAAAAACCAAGATGAAGAAGGAGAAAGGGACAACATTCTGGTTGATTTCCTTTTCGAATCAATAAGGGGAAGGTTTGGTAAATAAAATACAGTGATGAGGATATTTTTGTCCCGAAAAAATAGTTTCCTGCTTCTGCTTATTGGAAAAGGCTACAATTTATAGCTTCTTCCAAACTGTTTATGCTACTGCTCAAAATCAATTTTTCTGTTTTGGCCAACACCTCAAATCTCCAAAAAGAAAAAAAAATGTGATTTTTTAGCGTCACAAAAGGAGAATTAGGCTATGTATTTTCTTTTTCTTTAGACTTGTTCATTTTGTATTTTGTCAAGTTCTTACCATTTCCTTTGCTTATTCTTTTTTCTGCCCTGGTTTTCAATTTAGACTTCAGAAGTTTCTTTAAAAGATAGCTATTAGTGAATTTCTTTTCCAACCACAGAGTGGGCAGGTGCTTGAGCTACCTTAAACCTTTCATGAACTCCCGGGGAACTCCTTTCCCTGATTTATAAGTTTAGGTTTGCAAGTCTGGTTCACCTATCAAAAAAGAAAACCACTATAAGTCAGGTAGGTGGACTGTAGCTAAATAAAATCCATGCTGGCGGTGAATGATTACTCTGTATTAAATGAATAACAGACTTAGGCCGGCTTTGATTATGGAGAGAATGACAGTTGCAACTTCTATTTCCTTTTTTGGTTTTAGGAGTGTTTTGATAGCTGCAGCCTGCAGATATAATTATCAGTACTCTATGTCACCTCGAAGGGAGAATGTATTGCGCATCATTTTATGTGCCTTGAGGAGGGACTGTGAATCATGGCATCTGGTGTAGACTGTCTAACATCAATCAATGTTTTTTTTGGAATAGTAAAGCCAATGAAATATTATCATGAGCAAATATGTGGAAGTTATTATCTCCACGAGACTAATCACGTGCAATGAACACCAGAATGCTTAAGAAGTTTAGTCTTGTGTGAAGGTTTATATTTTACATGTGGGGAATGAGTAACCTCCCAAGAAACAAAAGAAAGTAAATCGAATTTCAATAGGCAATGAAGATTTAAAAGTTCAATATAATTTCAATCTAATTTGAATCATGAAAATAGAGAGCTGAACTGAATGTATTTAATAGTTATGGTTGCTGCACTTATTTAATCTGGATTACTACATATGCCTTGTGGTGTTTTTTCCCGTTTCTGGTATGGCCCCTCACAGGAAGGTAGAAAGAGTTACAAAAGAAAGAACAGTGATTTCCTCTAAAAGCTAGTTGACAAATTTGACCTAGTCCAGTAATTATTGTTCCAGTGGAACACACTGGTTGAGTCATAATGGCTCAAGTAATTTTGTTAGTCTAAATCAGATGTAGAATCAAATAAATGTGCTTTATCATGCATAATTATGCTTGTCTATTATCATGCAGTTATGTTGTTCTAAATGTGCCAAACCATTCTGGACGTCTTAGCTGTTTTGGTTCAATATGGCTATATGTGACATTACCATGATCATATGTGATTATACTTGTGCTTGCTCAAAAAATGTCTGCTTCCTTCCTGATACTCCCTGTGGCCTTTTGGGACTAAAATCTTATATATGGGGTATGGCTCCAGATATAGGGCAGTGACAAGTGCGTACTACCGAGGTGCTGTTGGAGCAATGCTGGTCTATGACATCACCAAACGTCAATCTTTTGATCATATCGCCAGGTGGTTGGAGGAACTACGGGGCCATGCTGATAAGAACATTGTCATCATGCTTGTAGGCAACAAGACCGACTTGGGTAGTCTTCGTGCTGTACCTACTGAGGATGCGAAAGAGTTTGCTGAGAAAGAGAACCTGTTCTTTATTGAAACATCGGCCCTAGAAGCAACAAATGTGGATACAGCTTTTGTTAATGTCTTGACGGAGATATATAGGGTTGTCAGCAAGAAATCCCTTGTTGCCAACGAGGCAGAATCCACCGCTGGGAGTTCAGCTCTCCTCAGGGGAAAGGAAATTGTTGTTCCTGGCCAAGGACTTGTACCAAGTGGGAGCTCATACAGCTGTTGCAGATCATCATAGGAGTCGGTCAAAGTGGTTCTCAAAGTTGTATATGTTTTTACGTGTATCAGATTTCAATTCCATGCACGTCTATCAAATGCAAATTTGAGTGCTACAACTACATGATGCTACATTGGTATTCATCCACTTTCCTCTCTCTAATTTGCACTTTCGTCACAAGTGTAAAAAGAATTACAGTTCAAAACCATTAAATTTCAATCTTGGTCTTATGCTAAATGTGTATTTGACCATCCCAAAAAAGGAGTCTGACTAATCATCCTTCGTGACTGAAACTTTTATGATGAACATTTTGCAACAAATCTTTATATGCTAGACTATTTTTTTATTTTTTTTTGATGTTATTAAGTTTTTCTTCTTGTAAGAACAAAAATCTAACCTGCAAGGGTATCCGAGTTGATTGAGCAGGTGACACCTTAAATGGGGGCTCTCGGTTCAGAACTCCTGACATGATTTCCTGGTCGTTAATGTAACACAATGAATTAAGAGTAATAGGAAGATATCCACTTCACACTTATTGTCTGTTAATGTATCATAATCTGTTTGATAGATACCCAAATGAACCACATTTTGTTGATATGTCAAGAATCAATCCCTACTTTGATTTATTGGAATAGAAGAAAATACTAGACTACTGAATTTTCTTCCTCACGTACATATTAGTATCATCTTTTTCATTTGCCAACCACCAATTATCCAATATTTAGTTTCCCAGTTCTTGAATCCAGAGGAGTTTTCAAAATTTTAATTTTATCAGTTAAGAAAATCCTAGAAGGGGTGCCTTGGAGTAACCGGTAAAGTTGTTGTCATGTGACGAGGAGGTCATGAGTTCAAGTTTTAGAAACAACTGTTGAATATTGTTTGTGGAGATGGACACAATCGATTTCTCACAAATTGAATATTGTTATTGCAAAGTAATAACCCGCTTCGGTCTTACAATTTTTATTACAATTTTTACAGAACCACCTTTATTTATAGGTGGTGATGGAAGAATCTAGCTAAGGGTTTTGCTATACTATATTCTAGAATGTTCTTCTAACTACCTATTTCTAGAACATCTCTAGACTTTCTAATACTCACCCTAGAGCTAGAATACTTATCCTAGAGATCTTCCTTTATTTCATTATAACGCTTGAATATTCTAGATTCTTCTTTGAAATGTCTTGGATATTAATTTAGTTGATGATGATTTCTTAACATGGTATACAATTGGTCCTTGTGGTTGGGCCCTTCCCCGGACCACTGCGCTGCTGCGCATAGCACGAAAGCTTTAGTGCAATGGATTACCCCTTTAGTATAGAAAATCTTGAACTCATAGCTTATTTGATTTTCTGACATATTATTTATACCTGTTTAGCATGTTTCCGACATACATATATAATTTTTGAGTCTAAGCTACTAAATTCGATTGAACATGTAGTTCTGCCTCTGGTTGAATGAAAACAAGTATTATCCTTCATTCCTTCAAAAGTAAATGGTACAATTATTTTCTCATTCCACCTATGAACCCACATGATTTTCATGTATGTATCAATATTCATCCACACATATTGCCCTATTCAATAAGGTATTTCTTGAATCCACAAACTTTTCATTAAACTTGTGCAATAAATACATAAACAAAATAGCCCCCGAACTTGACATTTGTATATTTCAACAAAATGAGATCAAATAATTAGCCCCCTTACATGTAAAAATACTAGTTGCATCATCATAAGCATAACTATAAGCATCTCTACAACTATTCTTGAAATATTGTGAGTACTCTGTAGGCTTACATGTGCTGGGATTGTTGAATTCCCCAGTGCAACAATACTCTGGTTTATTAAAAGCAAAGCATGCACTTTTACATGCAACAGTTGTACCATCATATGTTTTCACTTGTAATTCTTGAGGACATTGTAAGTTTATGTCTGAAGAACATTGTATATTTGAACAATTTCCAGATCCACCTGAAGGGTAAACTGATATTGGAATATTGAAACCATCAACAAAGCTAACATCATAGAAATCCATTGGACTATCAAGTGTGAACTCTGCTAGTGAGGCTGGTGGAGTGCCACCAGCACCATTGCATTGGAGTACTCCGCCGCAGTCTGCTGTGGCACATGTCCCTTTACCTGTAGTGGCGTATGCAGAATTTAGAGTAATTAGATAACATCAATCTATTGTTACAATTCAACTTTTAGGACATGAAAGAAGATTTTTTTTAATGAAAAGACGAAAACGTCCCTACTATTAATAACATAGTAAGGATATTATGGGTAAAAAAAGAATTATGTACAATATACTACTCCCTCCAACCACTTCTACATGTCCAATTTAAACTTTGCATGCCCCTTATTTTATTAGCCTTCTTTCTATTTCAACATCAACTTCGTTAGCTAACTATATGATCCTCGCCCATCTTTGATCCTTACATTAAAGTTCCCCCTACTAGCCACACGTAGTTAATACAAGTCAAGAAACAATAATTGATACGAATATTTAACCACAATAGTCATGTTTCATCTTAGGTAATTGAAAAATAATTTGAGGAATAACTAACAAATGTTGAGAGTAACAAACATGGAAAAAGTATGTTTTTCTCTCTTCATAGGCTAAAAGTGACCAGTAAAAGTACCACGACCCGACTCGGCTTACGTGTACTTGTGTTTAATTACCTGAGGTGTCAAATTGGCAGTGGGTTCGTGCCCAGAAGCGACCTGACCAACCAGTAGGTGCGTTGATTTCTGTAGTCTCATATGGTTGCAATTCCAAACCTCCATTAATTAGAAAGGGATGACCTGCTCCTGATAAACTTCCTGGCCATATTGTCACATTACAATTGTTTTTCAATGTGAAAACTGCACAATCTCCACCTGTATATAACAATAAAATATTGTTATTATAGACCACATATAATATAGCATAACATGAAAATTGATTTCATATAAAATATGACTGATGATGACGGTTGTAGAGAGGTCTGATGACTCTACTCACCAATGAAAAAGAGAAGTTGAAGGATGAGAACCAGTTGGAAATGTGATTCCATATTGATGATTATTAACTATTTTGAGTTGAAGATATTTGGGTGTTGAAATTGATGGTGTATATATAAGTTTGAGTGATAAATTGAACTTAGAAGTTGTATATATAAATGAATTTGAAAAGAAGATTAACTTCACATGCCTAGATAGAATTTTTTAATTTTTTTTGGTAAAATCATGCAAAAGTAGAAGAAATATAATGTGATTGATTTTGTCTACGTAAACGAAATGAATGGTTGATTTTATTTTCACCAATTAATTTATATCAAGTGTATTGTTACAATTTCTTTTTATAGTTAAAAATGATTGAATTTCTTAAAAGATCAATTGAGTTGTTGGGATCTTTTTCCATGTTTATCTTTTTTCTTAAATGAGGTTATTAATTATATTACATTTTTTTAGGAGAATGATTTAGAAATAATTAAAAAGAAGAGAGTAAAAAATATTTTTTTAAAATTTATTTCCTTATATATTTTTCTTAAAAAATATGTCATATTTCAATTCACTTAATATAGACCAGAATAAGTAATTAATTGAGAAAGTTATCACAAACACATTAATTAGCCTTTACATTTTCTAGTCTTTGCTTCTTCTTTTTTTAAAGGGATAATTACCTTTTTGAGGGCTTTTTATAAAATATTTACTACTTTCAAACATATTCTTTTATTTATAGAGTACTTTAATATACCATATTTAAAAAAATGTTTAGCATTTATAATCATTGTATTATGTGTTAAAAGTAAATTATATATGTATTATAAGTGTCTTAAAATATATTAGACTTATTTTGGTAAAAAAATATATAGCAATAAATGATATATATCTTTTAAATATGATATATTTAGATAAGTTTTCCTTTTTAAATTCTCTTCGAATTTTTTTGAATGTGGTCATGTGGAAATATTTCGAGGCTTTCAAATACAGCTTTTTCAACATCACAGGATCACTCGATTTTGCATCAATTGCTGATAAAGTTAAAAAATATTTTGGTGTGCTTTTATGAATATGGTGAAAAATGAAAATGTTCATGGTTATTTTTACTGTCTCACATATATTTTGATTGAATTTGTGAGGAAAAAAATATTATGAAAAACTCCCTATAATTTTTTTTCCATAATGTATGAATTATTTTTTATAAAGTAATCATGTCAATTTTTTAGAGTGTAATAACTAGAAATTCAATAATTAAGTTTATTTTTGTGGTGTTTGCCATACCTTTAGCCGTGGTGTTTGATACACGCATGGTATATAAAAACTATATTTATCAATTAAGAACTAACCTCAACAATTAATACAGTTTGATGATATTAATTAGATACACGTTGATATATAACTTTATGATAGGTTTGTATCTTATAAAATTAAAATAAATAAAAATGAAATCTAGTCATTCTTCTTCGCATGTTCATATGATATATAAGCATTTTGAGTTCAACTACCATCATTAATTACAACAGACGATCATTATTATCATTCATCATTATATATCGTCAACCACCATCATCAGTTACCACCATTATTAGCTATCACTATCATTCATCAAAAATATCAGTCAATGCCACCAATTATCACCATCAACCACTTACTAGCAACTACGTACTATCATTGCTAGTTACCATTCACAACACCACTATTAGCCAATTATATCATAGATATATCGATTGATACTTGTTTTTGTTTTTGAAATGCTTGATAAGCGCATAGATTTGAATAAATGTAATGACACCAAATTGATAAATATTCAGTATTCACTAATTCCTTAGGAGTAATGTTTAATTACCGTTTCAAAGCGACCATTTTGCATTACATAATACTAATGTTGGCCATTATTACCATAACAAGGATATTAAGACGAGCTAAATAAACTATTATAACAATTAAGTAAACACTTAATTTGATTTAGTACATATTTCTAATTGTTCAGAGTTGCTAAGCTCCCCTGCACATATTTATTGATCTAGACTTCTTCCTTCACCATACCTACTAGAATCAATCTAGTATTCCTACTTTCCAAATTCACCTGTAAAAGAGAAAGACAACAGGTAATTTTTTAATAAAAACAAAAACAATTTACGGGCGTAAGAAGGAGAAATGAGAAGAAGATTACAAGGTGTAGAATTGAACCCTCACCAATAAAGTGAAAGTTCTGATAGTCAATTAACTGTACTTCTAAGATTTTTCATAACAAAAACTTCATTGAGATAGTACAACGAAAGTCATTTAAAAAATATTTTCTATCATAAAGACAATTATTTCTTGTATTTGGTCACTAGAGAATATATTCTTTTATCAAAAGGGGAAAAATAACTTCCTTCACGAACACAAATCATTTTCTTTTACAAACTTTTAAAATTGTTCAAAATATTCATTAATAGTCAAAACTAAATATTCAAAAATTTCATCGATCAAAATTACACTATCTTTTTTTTTTTAATTAATCCTTATACTAGTTATTTTTTCACTTTCCAACCAATTAATACCAAAAGTATTTTCCTGAACAGTTTATAAGAGAGGGAAGAAATGAGATGATTAAAATAGAGGTCGATTTTTACATTGTTCAAAGTTAGCAGTGCACTTATCAGGAAGCTGTACGGCCATGCTTCGATCAACACCAGAAATAGGAGGGCCATTGATAAGAACACACAGACACGGCTGCCCTAATGCCTTGATGGAAGCGCAGCACGCTTCGCTCGGTGGTACCGAACTGAACGGAACCACCGATGCCCTACAAGGTATCAGCTGAATCAACGCTGAAAAGAATGTGCTGCTACAAGGATGACCATTGCTTCCTTTCACCGCGATACTGTATGTTATTACTAATATCAGCATTACTAAAGTACGACTAGTCATCATGTTTTTGCTCATATTTTTAAAATTTTGGACTACTACACAATTTGGAGGAGTTTGTGGAAAATGAAGTGACACTTGAATTGTATATATAGGGAGTTAGTTGGGTTAATTTAATTGATGAGCTAACTAACTCTTTTCCTAATATGATCATGATTTTTATGCTTGTAAATAAGTAGTTAAAATTCAATTCTCATGACTCACCTTCCTCATTTGAACTGGTTATGATAAGTGTTATTAGTGCTTTGCAAATAGTTAATTAAGTTGGAAAATAAGAATTATAAGTTCATCAGAAAACTAATTAGTAAGGTCAAGACTAACTAGAATGGCAGGATTATTTAGTCTGGCAATGAGTATTATTTAGTCTCAAGATTATCTTATTTTACTATCTTAATATGAAATAAAATAATCTCATAAGATATCTTGGTCTATTCCAACCGACTCCTTGGAGTTCAACCTAGACATAATAAAATCCAAAAATTAAAATATACTAAGCGTGTTAATACAATCAAATCACAAATTTAATTCATCTTTCAATCTTACTTCCCATTTCACCATAGTAAAAATAACATAAATCTGAGTTTAGGCCAATAAATAATCTCTTACATATATAGTCATGGATTCAAGAAATTAGTAATTTTAATTTATGAAAATTAAAAGATCCATTACAGTAAGGTTCATGATTTAGATGTAAAATAAAGGTAAAAAAACCCATTATTTAACTCTTTTTGGAAATTATTTTTTAACGGTTTCAACAAATTATTCACAAAATAACACCATGTTTATCAAGTTAAATAACCCACCTAATCTTGTGTGGTACAAAACAAAAGAATAAAGAAAACAATTACGGACTAATTAAATTTGATATCCACGTGGCGACTACGCATTTGTTACTTTAGTATCACTTAGATCGACATCCGGGTAATCATCTCTTCTCCAATCTCCATCGTTAACAAAAAATCTAAATCAACGGTCTACATTCACTCTCAGTGCCAAATTTTTTTAGACACTTCTCTCCAAATTTTCAACCTTCCCGCCTTTCTCTCTGTATAAATCCTCCATTACCCTTTCATCCATTTTCACCATTGAAACAGAACTAGAGTTTTCTTCAGTAAAAATTAATATGGCCCGTACCAAGCAAACTGCCCGCAAATCCACTGGTGGAAAAGCACCAAGGAAGCAGCTAGCCACCAAGGCTGCAAGAAAGTCAGCTCCGGCTACTGGAGGAGTGAAGAAGCCTCACCGTTTCAGGCCAGGAACTGTGGCTTTAAGGGAAATCAGGAAGTACCAGAAGTCTACTGAGTTGTTGATCAGGAAGCTTCCATTTCAGAGGCTCGTGAGGGAAATTGCTCAGGATTTCAAAACAGATCTGAGGTTCCTCTCGAATTCACCCATTCTTCACAATCAAAGCATTTCACAATCTATCAATTTGCTTTTCAATTTAGCAGACAATCAAAATGGCTCGTACCAAGCAAACTGCCCGCAAATCCACTGGTGGAAAAGCACCAAGGAAGCAGCTAGCCACCAAGGCTGCAAGAAAGTCAGCTCCGGCTACTGGAGGAGTGAAGAAGCCTCACCGTTTCAGGCCAGGAACTGTGGCTTTAAGGGAAATCAGGAAGTACCAGAAGTCTACTGAGTTGTTGATCAGGAAGCTTCCATTTCAGAGGCTTGTGAGGGAAATTGCTCAGGATTTTAAAACAGATCTGAGGTTTCAGAGCAGTGCTGTGGCTGCTCTACAAGAGGCTGCTGAGGCTTACCTAGTTGGGCTCTTTGAAGATACCAATCTTTGTGCAATCCATGCCAAGAGGGTCACTATCATGCCCAAGGATATTCAGCTTGCTAGGAGGATCCGTGGAGAAAGGGCTTAAACAGAAACTTTTAATGGTTAAAGTTAATTAGGGTTTATCTGCTAGGGTTAGTGGTGTAAATCCTAATAGATAGTTTCTGTTGAAGTGTGTGTAAACTGTTGGTTTACCTGTTTCTGGATCTGATTAATGAAAATTTGTACTTTTTTTAAAATCTACTATCTTGCCCTTACATCTGTACTGATGAATTCCAATGAATTAAGATTGAAGCAATACACAGTGTTTGTTGATTCGAGTTTTATTAAAATTTGATTTAAATAGAAATATTAAATTGCAATAGCACACCAATATAGCAGCTGCAGCAATCTTAGCTATGGTTTTTTGATGCTGTATACTTTGAGCTTTCAGCAAATTATTTTTTCCTTGTGACAATGAATTACAACCTTTTTGGCATTTTGTGTTTTGCATAATATCGTCTATACTGGATATGGAACCTCAATAGTAGTAGTTTTTGAGTTCAGAGTAATTTTGATATTATAAGTTCAACTTTAATTTCACAATCTTCTCTTTGGTCTTTGGTGTATGTATTTGTTATCAAAATGCTAGTGTGTTTATCAGTAATGCAAGAGTTGGGGTTCATATATTTTTTTCATGTTTGTCATCATAGGTTAAATTTGGTTACATTTGACATGGTAGCCACATGAATAATTTTCTCATTGACTTTAGGTTCAGGCCAAATGAGCTGTGGTGCAGCTGTTGTTGTATTTAAACTGAGATTGGTTTGTTTCGAGGCATCTCAACTCCTGCAACTTTATGGTAAGTTTTTGCTTTGCTAACTTGATTTGTGTATGTGTAGTTGAATCTATTAATTATCTTTTATCCCTTTTTGTGGGTAGGGGAGAGGGGTTGGGTCTGGAGATTGAGTTGCTTTTTGGTGCTGATACGTTTACCTACTTCTTAGCAATTACAGTTACAACTTTGTTGAATGAACTTTGTAAAATAAAGCTTGGTTATTGGATCAATATTCCAACTTCTGCTAGAGAAGTGATTCCTGGTCTAAATCTGTGCTTGAACTGAAGTTTGCCTTTAAACACTGTTCTCTGATTTCTCAGAATGCCAATTCAAATTTTATCTGTGGAGGAAGGGCTCAGGAATGAACACTTAATTAGTGTTCGGGTTGCAAGTGTTAATCTGATGATTCATTTCAATGAAAGTATGCATAAACTACTGGCTTGTTAGCATTTGAGATCTAATTAGTGTATCCACTGCTCAAAATCGAAGATCTTGACTGTACATATTAGTTTGATAAATTTCCCAACAATTGACAACTGAAAGATATTTTGTGATGAGGCTTGGGTACACATACAGAAAGCTACTCTATTTGGAAGGGGAATTTGGATATCTTTCTTTCTGATTTGAAGTAAATCTTTCTTGTTTTACCTTGCGATTTTTGTTATGAAGGTCCATATCTGGTCTTGTTCACTGCTTGCTGTTGCCATGTACTTTGAGGACGAATAGATGCATCTAGATCCCAAAAAACTATGCTAGATCTAGTCTGTACAAGCTTCCAAATTGTATATTTTGTTGGCCAAAAGTCATTATATATGATGCACACAAGTGTAACACATTTGTGGCTTTATAATACTATTATGATGTGGAAGTATGCTAAAGTTTACTTGGCTAACCAGATCACTAGAGATTTTTGAACTTCTTATATTGACCTGAAACTCTATTTGTGGATATCAATGTCTTCTGAACAGCTAGTATGCCTTAAAAGAGTGTAAATTGAGATGTTTTTCTGTATTTTCAAGATTGGAACTTCTAAACTTAGGTATCAGGTATGTCAGCAGATGGTGAGGCCACTCAAACACCATCCTGATTGCATACCAGGTTTAGGCAAACTTAGGTATCCTAGCAAACATTTGTTTGTGAGATCTCTACTTAACACCAAATCTATATAATCCAACAGCTGTTATTCACTTCCAATTTTACAGCCTACTTCACTCCTATACAATATCTCTCAAATTCACCACTAATGCACAATTAAAGCTTTTCTCTATCTACCAATTTTTTTCTTCCTTTTAGCATACACTTGAAATGGCTCGTACCAAGAAAATTACCCGCAAATCCATTGGAGGAAAGGCTCCAAGGAAGCAGCTAGCCACAAAGGCTGCCAAGAAAGTCAGCTCCGGCCACCGGAGGAGTGAAGAAACCTAGCCGTTTCAGGCCAGGAACTGTGGCTCTAAGAGAAATCAGTAAGTACCAAAAGTCTACTGAGTAATTGATCAGGAAGCTCCCATTTCAGAGGCTAGTGAGGGAAATTACTCAGGATTTTAAAACAGATCTGAGGTTTCAGAGCAGTGCTGTGGCTGCTCTACAAGAGGCTGCTGAGGCCTACCTAGTTGGGCTTTTCGAAGATACCAATCTTTGTGCAATCCATGCCAAGAGGATCACTATTATGCCCAAGGATATTCAGCTTGCTAGGAGGATTCGTGGAGAAAAGGCTTAGGAATCTTTGTTGAATGTTAGGATTGGCTATGTAAATCAAATGACTTTTTTCAATCAAAGTATATGTAAACTTCTGGTTTAGTACTATTCTGAAATCTGATTAATGAAATATGTAGTTCATTTTGTTTCAATTAAAGCTTCTGCGCATACTATGGTCAGGATTATATTTTACATTTCCTTCTTTATTGATTTCGCCTTTTGGTAGTGTAGAGTGTACGTTTTTTCATAAATGTTCCTCTTCTGCACAAAGTTCATTTGTTAAATTATTTGTTGCCTTGTATGCTGCTATTGAGGGGAGAAGTATATGTATCATCAACGACTTATTATTAGTCCTCATTTATTAGCATTGTAATGGTAGAAACTCTGCAGATCCTTTATACCTTTTTGAAATTGAATTCGATTTTGCTTTGTTAATCAAATTTGATTGTTTACAGATACAGTTAGATGTAGGGGTGGGTCGATGTTGAGTTTTCTTTCTAAAGTTGTGAGGTTGAAGTGGTAGCTGTTTTGAAGAAGTTTACGTTTGATTTTAACTTCATGAAACATGATGCTGCAGATGTTACATTTAAACTAAGACTGAGGTATTCTTTTTCTGATTTCATCTCCAGCGAACACAGAGATGACAAATTTAGACCACAAAGTTGACAGTAAATATCCTTGCTATGTTGAATGAGAAACGTTCAGCCTATGCATTTACTTACTTCTCAGAAGGTAATTAGCCTTGTTTATTACTTCTCTCATTCTAACTTGAGATGAACTAATCTACTTTCAGATATCTTGTCTCCTGCAAGTCTTTCTAAATTGAATTTGAACTTAGAGCTGATTGAGTTTGTGAATGTGTGACTATAAAGAGGGATGCGTTTGGTTACTAGTTACAGTCTTAAGATCAGAAATCCCTTTCTAATTGTTTGTTGCTTAAATAGGTCATCAATTTTCTGAAGAGATAGAAAGAGTGCAACCTACAAAAATTTTTACTATGCTGAATGATATTGATATTATGCCAAAAGAAAAGAAGTGATGGAACCAGTTAACTTAATCTATCAGGATAAGTAGTGTTACAGTAATATACTTGTTATAAATCTTCAAAATTCGCCAGACCTGAACATCTATATGTATGCATTTACAAGATTTGTAAATTGAGTGGCTTTCTGTATATGCAAGATGGGAACTTTTAAACTCAGGCAGGTTAGCAGACGGTGAGACCAGAGACTCAAATACCATTGGCTTAGAAAGTCAGTCTGCGGCATCACCATGTTAGAAGCTATGTGTTCCCGTTATCAGTTGTCCGAAACTGAGTTGATTTGGGTTTGTTATCCAAATGCAACTGTATAGGTTTTAAATGATAGTGTATACTATTAGTTGCAGGGGATGGGCTGATGTTTATTCTTTTACCAATAGCATTACAGGTGGAGCTTGGATGCAATTGAAGTGGTGGCAATCTTAAAAGGGTTTTCTGTTTCACTTTAGCTTCAGGCAAAATGAGCTGTGGTACTGCAACTGGTTGTGTTTTAAATGGAGCGAGATGGTCTATTTCGAGGCATCTAATATCTAGCTCATCTAAGCAATTTGACTGGGTTTATCTGCAACAAATAGCGGTACAGAGTTCCAAAACTTACTTTCATTTATTAGAATCTCATTCTGATATTGCTACTTTACTACTGCTGGCAAATAACTAAATTACAAAACAAAAGATCATGTATTCATCTATGACTTCAGTTTCGTCTTATAATCATTCAATATTTCTTTAGCACATCTTGAACAATAACAGTTGTTTGGCACAAATAAGAAATATCTTTATTATCAGTATACCTATGATATCTGGAGTTAGTGCATCTTCACTTGGTTAGAATGGGATGCTGAACTTAACCTTGAGACAACTATCTTTTTTCAAGCTCACGAGATCATCCTCAGGTCAGTATTTCACTCGATTCCAATGGTTGATGACTTTTTATGCCAGAGATAGAGTAAGAATTCAGGCATGAATACTGCTATAAGGAGAACAGCGGAAGCATTCGAATTCATTGCAGATCTGGAAACAAACCAAACTATAGGAAAATGAGGCTAAGGTGCTCTTAAGAATCTCTACTCTTATTAATTCAACATTGACAGTAAAAATCCTTGCTATGTTGAATGAGAAGTGTACAACCTTTGCATTTACTTATTCCTCGTAAGGTAATTTTAGTTTTGTTGTCTTGCAAAATAAGTCTTGTTTATTACTTCTCTCATTACTAATTTGAGATGAACCATTCTACTTTCAGATGTCTTGTCTCCAGCAAGTCTTTCTATATTAAATTTGAACTTAGAGCTGATTAAGTTTGTGAATGTATGACTATGAAAAGGGGATGTGTTAGTTACTAGTTACAGTCTTACAGATTAGAGAGCCCCTTTACTTAATAATTATTTCTTGCTTAAATAGGTGATCGATTTTCTGTAGAGAAAAGTGTAATCAGTTTGTTGGCTCCTGATGTTTTAAGTAATCATGTGGCTCGACTAGCCAAGAGAAAACGTAGAGCCAGGACATAAGTAATCATGTCCTTCGAGCTGTTTTTATGAATGTAACTTCTCTATTTCAAAGTAAAAGATCATTCATACATACAAAAAATGAAGTGAATGTTGATACTCTCCAAATTAGAAGACAAAAAAGTAAGAACAAAAATTCTGGTGAGAAATTTACAACAACTCGAATCATCATAATCTCAACCCTTTTTCCTATTCCAACAGCGCTTGGGGGCAGGAGGGTCATTAGCAGATTTAGGCATTTGATGAAAGTCTACCACTACAATCCGTCTCTTGGCTTCCCTTTGATCTGCTAACCTTTCCTCAAACTTCCTCTTGCTTAATTCAAATTTCTTCTTCATATCACTGTCACTTTGTGTTTCTCTATGCATTGGTCTTGCAACTGCAGAGCTTTGTGATGTTTTCTGCATTGGTCTTGTACTTGAACTGCATTTGCTTTGTTTTGGATGAAGAGGAGGAGAAACTTGTACATTCATCTTCATCAACGGCGACAGCATGCTCTTTGTTGAACCAGTGGTGCACTCTTTTCTCCTGCATTGGGTATGGGTCTTTTGTGCTCCTTCTTCTCTCTTATTTTCTATGTGATAATCACTCTCCATCTTCTTGAAACCTTTGTGGCTCTGCTTGTCTCTGTCAAGGTGCTTCTCGAAAGATAAATCAGAAAGAAGTCTTACACGAGGAGGAGCAACTTGTACTCGTTTGGTGGACTCTTTCATCCTCTTTCTTGATGGCATAGTAGTACTATTATGGGAGTGTGGTGTTCCTTGTTTATCCAATTGTTGAACCAAGTCAGTTTTCTTCAACTCTGTGCTGCTTTCTGTTATTGCACTGCAATTGTTCTGTTTCTCCGCAGGAGCAACTTGTACAGACTTGCGGATGACTATTCTAATCTTCGTCACCAAGGGTTTGTTGCTTTCTGCAGTTATTTGTTGTGTTCCTAACCCATCATCTTCTTCTTTCTCAGGCTCTTCAACACTGGTCACGTCATCTTGATCACCAACATTGTCCTCGATAACCTCTTCCTCATCATCATAATCATCATCAGTTGATGTTATGGAGGGATTCATGAGGAACTTGATTATCCTGGCTTTGCGCTTTTCAAACTGTGGCTGATACTTGAATGCACCAACACGCAGAGCTAATTCGATCAAGTTGAAAATATCATCAGGCTGCTCCTCGATCTTGTAACAACTCATGAAAACTCTTTCAATATCCATTCTTCTCACACTCACTCGAACAAGAAAAACAATTATGAAAGGAAAAAAAGTAATTTGTTAAAGTGTAATAAGAAACTTTAACTCATCAAACCCCTCTTATAAGATTTTTTTGGAAACTTTTTCATATGTTTTAGGACTAGGAGTGCTACAAAATTAACCTTTTCAATAATTTCCATTTTTGAATTGTACGATTTTTAGAATTTTTTTCCCTTTTTCCAATATTGTTTAGGACTGCCCACAAATTTACTAAATTATTTTTTCCTTTTCCTATATATTTTTAGGAACAAGGGCGGCACACTCAAAGCCCAAACCCCCCAAATTCAGATCTGCTGAAGTAATAGCACACTTGGAAGGATCAAAGTACCCTAAGTAGGATATTAAAAAAAAATTGTGCATTTATTGTCACTATATAAGTTAAAATTAGCATATGCACATCGAAATATCGAATTGAAATTTGATAAAATCGAAGCAAAGTAAACTACAATAGATGTCAAAATGACATAACATGCCACATCACATTAAAATCAATGAAAATGTAGGACGTGTACAAATGACATGTTTTGACCAGTCAAATATGACTATGTCAATTCAATATAATTGGCTAATTTATTTTTTATCCTTATCAGAACTTTTTCAGCCTACAAGCTACAACTATAAATAAGATTCTCATAATTCAGGAAAGAACAAAAATTTGTGATATATCCCGTGCACTTTGAGAAAGTGTAGAAATAGAATATTCAACTAGATAATGCACTCTAAAGACCAGGATAACTTGATTCTTTATGCTGATGATGATGTGATCAAGCAAAAAAAAAAAAGAGAAATAAAGACAAAGTGACATAGAATCACATCAGGTTACTTTGCCTACAAACCAGAAACCAACTGTACAAGTTGATCCTCATCAAAAACAACTTATCGTATTTATTTGTTGTTTCGTCTGAATTTCATTTTTTATTTGTGTCTTTATTTGATTTTAGGATTTTCGTCGATTTACACTGATTTTGTGAAAACTGTTTTGGGAATTTTGCTCTGTTTTGTGTCTAATATTAGTGTAAGATTTTTTTTGTAGTAGTAGTGTTAGGCCTTCAATGACATGTTTCATGATTTCGATTAGATTCTAGCAAAAACGAACTGCCATGGTGATGAAGAAGAATACAATAAAACCAACCAAAAAATTTGAAGCAAAAAATTAACAGAAAATACATGGAAAAAGAGGGGAGTATAATGACGGAAGGAAATTTGGAGAAATTTGGAGAGAGAAGATGATAAAGAGGGTCACTATCATGCCCAAGGATATTTAGCTTGCTAGGAGGATTCGAGGAGAAAGGACTTAACAAAAAGCTTGTTATGATTAAATTCAATTAGTGTCGATTTGTTCAGTAATGAACCCAAATCCAATGGTACCAATTTCTCAACTATATTAACAAGGCTAAAGTTTAATTACAATTCCACAAAGTAAATGCACCCACTCAAAAGGCAAAAGCCCAAACGGAAATGTAGAAATATTGAAAGTAAGAACTAGGATCGACTGAAGAAGGAGACAAGGAACTAGACCTAGAGAAAGCACGATGAGAGATACAGACTTTGCCTAAGCATGATCATAATACTCATCAACTATTCTTTCTATCTGAGGATCCATTTAAACTAGTTGTTAATTGGGCTTGGATCCCAAATCAACCTTTGTGAAGGTCTTTTGATTTTATTTCTCAACCCAATAGTTGCTTGTGTGACATCCCTATAGGTATCGACCCAGGGCTTGGACTGGTTCATAACAATACTCTCATCCTCAAGGTTTAAGTCAAGAATAGTTTTAGTAGAGCAATCCCCGCCAATTGTAGCCAAGCCAAATTGTGCTATGACGCCAAAGAATAGCATGTGATCCAGTATAATTTTCACCACATCAACCCACATGGGATCATCAACAAATAGGTGCTGCTCATTATCAAAATCCTCAGGCAAAGAGGCTCTTGTCCAACACAATGAAAACATAAACTTGACCACCCATGAATTGTGTAGCACACGCAACTGGAATTGCATACTTAAAAGGAAAAATAACCTTAGCAACAGCCAAGCCATTGATATGTGCCATGTCCACCAAGAATATAATTTCTAGTTGTGTGTTACCTATCTTGTGGATACACGCATAATCACATAGGCGAGCATAAACACTTGCGATAGCAACAATCAACTTTGGTCGAAAAAAGGTTGCACATTTCTCATGCGACTCCAGTAGAGCAATAGACACTTGAAAGTTTATGAGGGATCTAGTTAATAACTGAACATTGATTCTCCATGTGGCAGGATCAATTTTAAAAACTTCTAAAACATTTTCTTCACATAGTTTTGCTGTCATGTCAATGTACTTGTCTCCTCCATAGTATCTTGTGCCGCGACACCTTTCATTAAATATGATGGGCAATATTGATCTTACTACTAACATCACTGACAAAGATGTAAAATTCTCTGACGGGATAAGCTTATGACCATTCCATTGCCTGGCTTTCTCAAGTTCAATAATATCAACACTATTTGAACCAATGTCTTCAAATAGCGAATTCCTCTGCTTTATCCACATCTGTCGCACTAGAATAACTGTATTGGGTGCTAAGAAAATCTCCAGGGCACTTCTAAGATTTTCAAAATGGTAATGTTGCAGTGCTTACATGATTCAGCCCAAGGCCGCCAACTTCCTCACCCCACAATGCAACTATTAAAATATAAGTAGAAAGAAAACGACTAGATGGAACTAGTCTTTTTGGCACCATAGAGTAGAGGAGTATCCGGTATACCAGGATCAAATGGAAGATTCAAAAAGGTGTGAGAAACAAGAAAACCTGTTGAGAAATACTAATAAGCTTGCAGATTCACGCTCCAACTAGAATAGTTGGTTGGCGAAAGCTTTTTTAGAGTCTTCATAAGAATATTGCACACAAAATAAGCAGGAGAGCTCAGCTTTGTCCATTTGTTTTGTCTTCTCACATCCATCACATGATTACCCACTGCCTACTCCAAAACCTCACTCGCAAACTTTGGTGACACAATAAATTCGGAGATTCTCACCTTGCCATCATTAGAATGAAGTTCTTTTATTGAAACACCACACTCACATTCTAAAGCAATGACATATACCTGTATCGAACCATTTGTCCACATAACCAGAATTTTGTAATTCAACATCCCTCGCCTCAGAATATTGTTCCAATGAAAACACTTCGACATTTTGACTAGGCAACCTGTATATATCTTGTAGGGAATTTTTAACTACTGACTTTCTCTGCGTTGTCATCATCCATATCAGATTCTTTAGCAGTACCTTAGAGCAGCAGTTATGAGACTTTTCCTCAAACACCTGGGTGGCGTTTGGCATTGAATGTTTAAAGTCCATGTCAATTTCTCTATGTGATATTTCAGCAAACACCTTACAGGCAAAGTTTCTTAAATAGTCCTCCTCATCAATTTTAATTTCCAGTGGTGTATCCCATCACAATTGCTACCAATTAACACAATAGAGGAAGTAAAATCAGTGGGGTGCAGTTAAAGATCTCTGCGGCCTCCTCTTGTTTTCCATTGGCTAAATCAGATTCAATTGCAGCATAAAGAACTTCCGGCGGAGCTATAGGTGCTACGCTACTGGAGACAAAACAGGCCACACTCTTTGTTGAACTTGTGAGGCTCCATTGTCGAAATCGCAAAAGCAATTTCACCTTGAAATGGTTCCAACCATAGAATATAATTCTTTGTTGCGAAACAACACATCGAACCAAATAACAGCTTCACTATCAAAATAAAAGGAAGGAAGAGGTAGCCAGTCCTTCTAGGAGAAACCAAGATAGGTAAAATATCATTCCGCTCTTTTGGATTACCACCACTAAATCATCTAGCAACACCGAAGCCATTGGAACACGATCGATGAAAGCACCAATGTAGAGAACTCAAATCCAATGATGACTCTAACCAGTTTCTCAACTATATTATCAAGGCTAAAGTTCAATTACAATTCCACAAAGTAAATGCAACCACTCAAAAGGCAAAAGCCCAAATAGAAATATTGAAAGTAAGAACTAGGATCCACTGAAGGAGACGAGGAACTAGACAGAAAGCAGGATGAGAGATACAGACTCATAAAAACTCTTTCAATATCCATTCTTCTCACGCTCACTCGAACAAGAACAACAATTATGAAAAAAAGTAATTTGTTACAAGTACAATGGCCTGACTGCTAAGAATTGCCATTTTGAATTGATTCGTGAAGGAAGTGTGTTAAATTGCTGGTTTATAGCATTTTAGATCTAATTAGTGCATCCACTAGTTCGTTTCTGTTCAAAATTGAAGGTCTTGACCGTACATATTTGTGTGATAAATTTGCCAATAACTGAAGACTGAAGCACTATTTTGTGATGAGGGTTGGGTTTACATACATAAGACTGCTCTATCTGGAATTAGGGAGTTTGGGTATCTTTTGTTCTGATCTGGTGTAAATATTTCTTTTTTTACCTTGTATTTTGGGTATGAAGAAGTTCCATTAATAGTAGTTGTTCACTGCTTGCTGTTGCCATGTATTGTGTGGAGGAATAAATGCATATGGATCCCAAAATACTATGACAGAACTACCAGACCTTGGCATTATTTATGGCTATGCAATATATGAAAAATAATCCAGATAATGAAATGGATTTTCTTAATGTAGATTAGGAAAACAGAACATCATTACTTTATAGGTCTCAAGATTTGAGTTTCTTTTAATTCAACATTGACTTAGAAAGTCCTCACTCTGTGGCATTACAAGCTATTTGTTCCCTTTATCAGTTGTCCGAAACTGAGTTGATTTGGGTTTGTTATCCAAATGCAACTGTATATGTTTTAACTGATAGTGTATACTATTAGTTGCAGGGGGTGGACTGACGTTTATTCATTTACCAATAGCATTACCGGTGGAGCTTGGATGCAATTGAAGTGGTAGCAATCTATAAGGATTTTCTGTTTCACTTTAGCTTCAGCCAAAATGAGCTTGGCAGGGCAACTGGTTGTGTTTTAAATGGAGCGAGATGGTCTATTTCGAGGCATCTAATATCTAGCTCATCCAAGCAATTTGACTGGGTTTACCTGCAACAAATAGCGGTACAGAGTTCCAAAACTTACTTTCATTTATTAGAATCTCATTCTGATATTGCTACTTTACTACTGCTGGCAAATAACTAAAATACAAAACAAAAGATCGTTTATTCATCTATGTCTTCAGTTTCTTCTTATAATCATTCAATATTTCTTTAGCACATCTTGAACAGTAACAGTTGTTTGGCACAAATAAGAAATATCTTTATTATCAGTATACCTATGATATCTGGAGTTAGTGCATCTTCACTTGGTTAGAATGGGATGCTGAACTTAACCTTGAGACAACTATCTTTTTTCAAGCTCACGAGATCATCCTCAGGTCAGTATTTCACTCGATTCCAATGGTTGATGACTTTTTGTGCCAGAGATAGAGTAAGAATGCAGGCATGAATACTGCTAATAAGGAGAACAGCGGAAGCATTCTAATTCATTGAAGAACTGGAAACAAACCAAACTACAGGAAAATGAGGCGAAGGTGCTCCTAAGAATCTCTGCTCTTATTAATTCAACATTTGACAGTAAAAATCCTTGCTATGTTAAATGAGAAGTATACGGCCTTTGCATTTACTTATTCTTCATAAGGTAATTTTAGTTTTGTTGTCTTGCAAAATAAGTCTTGTTTATTACTTCTCTCATTAGTAATTTGAGATGAACCAATCTACTTTCAGATGTCTTGTCTCCAGCAAGTCTTTCTATATTAAATTTGAACTTAGAGCTGATTAAGTTTGTGAATGTATGACTATGAAAAGGGGATGTGTTAGTTACTAGTTACAGTCTTACAGATTAGAGAGCCCCTTTACTTAATAATTATTTCTTGCTTAAATAGGTGATCGATTTTCTGTAGAGAAAAGTGTAATCAGTTTGTTGGCTCCTGATGTTTTAAGTAATCATGTGGCTCGACTAGCCAAGAGAAAACGTAGAGCCAGGACATAAGTAATCATGTCCTTCGAGCTGTTTTTATGAATGTAACTTCTCTATTTCAAAGTAAAAGATCATTCATACATACAAAAAATGAAGTGAATGTTGATACTATCCAAATTAGAAGACAAAAAAGTAAGAACAAAAATTCTGGTGAGAAATTTACAACAACTCGAATCATCATAATCTCAAAACCTTTTCCTATTCCAACAGCGCTTGGGGGCAGGAGGGTCATTAGCAGATTTAGGCATTTGATGAAAGTCTACCACTACAATCCGTCTCTTGGCTTCCCTTTGATCTGCTAACCTTTCCTCAAACTTCCTCTTGCTTAATTCAAATTTCTTCTTCATATCACTGTCACTTTGTGTTTCTCTATGCATTGGTCTTGCAACTGCAGAGCTTTGTGATGTTTTCTGCATTGGTCTTGTACTTGAACTGCATTTGCTTTGTTTTGGATGAAGAGGAGGAGAAACTTGTACATTCATCTTCATCAACGGCGACAGCATGCTCTTTGTTGAACCAGTGGTGCACTCTTTTCTCCTGCATTGGGTATGGGTCTTTTGTGCTCCTTCTTCTCTCTTATTTTCTATGTGATAATCACTCTCCATCTTCTTGAAACCTTTGTGGCTCTGCTTGTCTCTGTCAAGGTGCTTATCGAAAGATAAATCAGAAAGAAGTCTTACACGAGGAGGAGCAACTTGTACTCGTTTGGTGGACTCTTTCATCCTCTTTCTTGATGGCATAGTAGTACTATTATGGGAGTGTGGTGTTCCTTGTTTATCCAATTGTTGAACCAAGTCAGTTTTCTTCAACTCCGTGCTGCTTTCTGTTATTGCATTGCAATTGTTCTGTTTCTCCGCAGCAGCAACTTGTACAGACTTGCGGATGACTATTCTAATCTTCGTCACCAAGGGTTTGTTGCTTTCTGCAGTTATTTGTTGTGTTCCTAACCCATCTTCTTCTTCTTTCTCAGGCTCTTCAACACTGGTCACGTCATCTTGATCACCAACATTGTCCTCGATAACCTCTTCCTCATCATCATAATCATCATCAGTTGATGTTATGGAGGGATTCATGAGGAACTTGATTATCCTGGCTTTGCGCTTTTCGAACTGTGGCTGATACTTGAATGCGCCAACACGCAGAGCTAATTCGATCAAGTTGAAAATATCGTCAGGCTGCTCCTCGATCTTGTAACAACTCATGAAAACTCTTTCAATATCCATTCTTCTCACACTCACTCGAACAAGAACAACAATTATGAAAGGAAAAAAAGTAATTTGTTAAAAGTGTAATAAGAAACTTTAACTCATCAAACCCCTCTTATAAGATTTTTTTGGAAACTTTTTTTCATATCTTTTAGGACTAGGAGTGCTACAAAATTAACCTTTTCAATAATTTCCATTTTTGAATTGTACGATTTTTAGAAATTTTTTCCCTTTTTCCAATATTTTTTAGGACTGCCCACAAATTTACTAAATTATTTTTTCCTTTTCCTATATTGTTTAGGACCCGCCCACAAATTTAGTTTATTTTTTTTTC